TTAATTTTCGTAGTCGCCTTCACAAAATGGATTGAAGTTGCAATCTTAAAACATATTATGACGAGTGTAACAAATAATTTGGCCGAAATTAGTTCTTATAGATGAGAGTCCCTACATTGTTTCAGATAATCTGACTCCACCACGTGATTCTGTTAATATATATTATAAAAAATAAATAGGTCTTAATGGCATTTTTATAAACTTAGTCGTTGTTTAGCAGGTGGATTAACGTCATATGTCATTACCCGTTAAATTACAAAATACACATGAATTTCTCTTTTTAATATAACAAGCATTTGTTTACTCTATTATTTTTACTTATGTCTATATATTTTTATAAGGATTTTAATTTTAATTATCTATTTATTATTAAATTTTGAAGTAACATGATTTGAGATAATAAACCATTGGGTGTATATATCGTGTTAAATTACATTATTAATCAGATGATTATAAAAGGGTATAAAATGTCCATTAAAATATTTCGAGAAATATATCTTTTCATTCAAAATAAAATATAGTGTTGTTTAAATAATTATCTAATGACATATAATAATAAATTTTGTACACCAATGAAAACAGTTAAAAAGAAAGAAAGAAAGAAAGAGAAGAGAATAGAGATGTCATTTTGATTACCCATATCATTATTTAAAAATTGTAAACGAGTGGCCAATTTATTTCCTATGTCTGACGCAAACTTTATTAAAGAAATTGCCTGATCATCGTGATAATAATGAAGCAAGTTATTAATTTAATAATAGTTTTTAACATGAGAATAATTGCTATATGGGTTACCAAAATAGTGGATCCAGCTGATTTGCATTCAACGACGCTTTCAAATGCATTATTAAGAATGAATCGTCAGTCTAGGTATTATTATATGTCATTGAAATTATCATAATTTAATGTTTTTTAAATTTGTTGCTGATACAACATTAATGATTTGAGAAGAGTTAAATGTGATAAAATTAGCAGCGGTATTAGATGTGATTATAAAAGTAAAAATTATATTAAATATTTAAACTTTAGTAGGAATAGTAATAATTTTTATGTAGCATAAAAATAATGTAAGTTTTATTTAAAAATTTTAAAAAAAAAAATTTACAAGAACAACAGGACTGTAATCTAAGAGGGATGGAAATATTTGAGAGCACGACATGTGCCACTGCCGATTTTAAAAAAATTTAGCTACCCTAGCTAGAAATTTTAAAAAAAAATACAAGCAATTTTTTTTATATTGGTATTTTAGCATATTATATACTTTATATCATTAAATATATAAAATATTATATAAACAAAATGATAATATATGTAATTGTACATTTTTAATTCAAAAACTAACCCTTCCCTTTAATTTGATTCTTAAAAAGGAATATCTAACATTATATACAAAGATCATACCTTGACATTGTTTAACTCACCGTTTAGAATTAGCGGTGTACGATAAAAAGGGTTGCAGGCGTTAATCACTTTGAAGCCTCAATTGACATCAGCGTAGCGTCTACATGACAGGATTTTCACTGGATGCAAACCCCCTTTAAAAATATATGCCTAATCCCCCCCACTGAAAAATTCCCGCAGCTGTTTACCTTTTTAATTATAATGATGCTCTTTCAGAAATCATAAAAATAATAGCTTAAATTATTTTTTCTCTACTAACAACTATCGACATTTTGTGAATAGAAAAGAGTTATTTTTTGAATAATAAATTCAATTAAAACCTACAATGAATTCATTATTATAGCATTATGTGCTTGCTGAAAATGTCTAAACCCTTTTAAATTACATGTGAAAGGATGGCAGAAAGTTTTAATGGGAAAATAATGTCTTTGATTGTTTGCTTTACAATATATAGATTTGTTTGATGAATTGTATTATAATAGGTCTATAATAAAAGTATTACTTTTTACATACAGCAATAAATTTTGTCCTATATGATCTCAAAATTTAATAGATAACCCCTCGAAAAGTTTATCCTACCCCCATTAAAGCCGCCTACCAATGAAAACTGTTTCTACCCCTCCCCCTTCCTATTCATGTAGACGCTGATTGATATATTCCATAGTTTACATAGCCCGTCTATCTAACAAAATCAAGAGGCGTTGCATCAAATCGCCCGAATTGGGAATTTCGATTGCTGAAGATTGGAAGAGTACTTGATTTATGATGGGTGTTGAGCAGTATTGTTGAAGTAGTTTAGAATTAATTGAGGCCTTGTATACGCATTTCAAAAGTTTGGCAAATTCTGATAACAATGCAACATTTAACGGTATGTTCACCTAATTAGAAAGTGGTGAATTCTTATAAGATATCACCTTGATGTATGATCTTCTATTTGAATTATCTAATTTGTCTTTATGCCTTCAGACAAGTGTTGTAATAGCCTATTTTTACATTATTTATATATAACTATATATTATATCATATTTTAATCAAATAATGTTTGAAAGTAGATTCGTAGATTATATATTATGATAATATTATATGTTATATATATATGAAAATATTAATATGATTTCGACCATTGTTATATGATGGGAAACAAGGTGACGATGGATGGTGATGCCTTTATTAGAAATCAGCAGGATTGAAAGATATAATACAAGATATAAAGATATTTATGTTTTTGAGAGCTAAAACAACAAGAACAATCAGTTCTAAATCTTAAAAATCAATAAAGTGAACGATACGCGTTTTAAAATCTTTTAAGCTGTAGCGTTACCAGAGTGGGGACATGAGCTCAACCCCCTTAAAAAATTTGAAGAGACCCACAAAATTTTGATTTTTATTAAAAACCTGTAATTTTGAACAATGTTAGCTAAAAAAAATATAATTTTGAAAGTAATAGCAAATAAAAAAGGTAATTTTGAAAATAATTTTAAAAAATTTTTCTGAAATTGTAAAGGAAGGCAGACGACTCTGCTTTTAAGGATATGTTGGTTACTGTTGTTTAATTTCAAAATGAATTATATTTAATATTTTTAAAGGTGAAAAAATAAAAATAGCTCAAGAAGCTTGGGAAAGAAATAGATTTGGATTATATTGAAGGAATATAGAACTCACTCTGATACCAACAAAAATCCATTTATAACTGCCTTAATAGACAATATGCAAAATAGACTATTGGATGTTAATTTCGGTAATTCTAATAATTAAAAATAAAATTAGGCGGTTATCTTTTTTAGATATCTTATCTAATATGGAATATTCAAAAAAAATTAAACAGACCCTTCACTATTATGTAGAAAAGCAAAATAAACCACTTTTTTGCCAACTAAAGCTCGATGTGAATCTCGAAATAAATGAGATTAGTTTATAATGATGATAATAATGAGAGTAATAAAGACTCCTGAAATTTGAAAGAGTTTCAAATTGTATTAACACAGTGTAATACTGATGAATGTGATCGTTGAATGTCATGATGACGGATTTGCTTGAAAGTCTTATAATAACATATATTTTAAATTTAATGATTATAAACTCTAACGAGTATCATCAGTCGGTAAAATTCCTCCATATATATTAAAAAAGATTTGGAAACGATAACCAATCAAGGAAACGTATAATTAATATAAATAAAAAAATTCTATAGTGAATATTGCAATATTGAAGAAAAAAATTTTTCATCTATTCCTAATTATGCATTATATTATAATGTTAAAATTATTTTAAAAAATTATGTCACATTTTAATATATATCAATTTTTATATAACTTTCAAAATAGCTAATATAAATGAAATAGATATAATTATTTTATATATGCTTTGATATAAAATATTTTAAATAAATTTGCCTCAAATTCTTGTATAAACAAATATTCGCTTCTATTTTTTGCCCATTAGCCTGCCTCTCTGCTATTTATTTTACGTCGCATCTTTTAGGAATACAGTACTACAAAACTTTACTTGCATCCTAAGATGTTTCATCACCAAATAAATTTTTGAACTAATTTAGTTTTCAAAAATAGAATCGTAGTTTGACCAAGAATAAACTATTGGGATGGACAAATCATTTCCTTAAATGGAACAGGTCTATGATTATTACACTTTACAGATGGGACTATTAATCACAAAATGTTTATCTATCTTAAGCCAAACCTATCGATACATATTTTTTTGATATAAAGCTATTTATTCATATGGATTGAATCAGGGGTTAGTAAAATTTAAAAAAATTGCTCAGTTAGTCGAAGAACACAGAACCAATTATATTCTCAAGAAAATTGGAAATATTTTGATCTCTAAATTAATTCTATCTTCCAATACTTTTTGAAATGGTTAAATCTTCCGTTGAATCAACCCAAATTCAGAGAATATAAAGCATTTTAGATATTTGCATTTTTCTATTGTGAGATTAATTAAAATAAACTGAGGAATGAAATTCCCTTTCTCCTTATCCGTAGATGTGTTAATGATAACTAGTCACATACTTAAGAGAATGATTATATATTTATAAACACAAAGAAAGAATTAGTGTTATTAATTTATATAAATTTTTTAGTATTTGAAAAATTTATTATTCAAAACATTTGAATTTTTACTAGTTTATTTAATTAAAACATTTAAGTTATTAACTTATAATTTTATACTCTAGTACTGTTATAACACTAACTTTAGAAATGATTATATACGCTTTAAAAAATCCTATTTGATTTTGGTAAGATAACAATGCGCAAGCATTTTTACAAATAAATATTTATATTACCCACCCAACACAAATTTCTATTTATAAATAAATGAGTTAAAGCATGATTATAGTTCCATCAGTTTTAACAAAATTATAGTCCTATTTACATGTAAATATGAATTCTATTACAGCAGTATATATTGTATTTTTTTGTTTATTAAATAATAATTAAATATTGTAAGGTTACTCTATAACCCGATTGGGATTCAGCGCCATTATTTTTGTTTTAGCATTCTCGCGTTTTACCAAACAAAAATACAACTATCTGTTTTTTATTTTTTTTTCACAAATGACTAAAAATAGTTGTATTGTATTGCATGATTAGTTAATATATATTTATTACAATCTACATAATGGACAAAGCAAATGAACTAAACGATGGTTATTCATTCTTAGATGAGATCAACAAATCTAATTCAATTGAAATAACCAAGAATGCCATTGAATCTACTCTCAACAATGAAATGATGGAATCTTTTCTTTCATCTGCGTCCTTCAATTCTACCGAATATAATGCAAAAAGCTTTACCAATTTTTTTCAACCTGAAAGCATGAAACATAGTACTCACAATTCTGAACCAATTTCAGGATATCAAAATCATATTTCAGAAACCATACCTTTAAGGCCACCATCTATAGACACAATTATAGATACAGCTGTTAATTTAAATCATATACCAACTACACATTATGAAACCATAATTGATGATACTCAAACCTTAGCTAATGATCAATTTAAGAAAAATAATTTAGTTGAAATGAATAACATATTTTCTCAAAATGACTCTATATTGGGTTCAATCTTAATATCAAATACATCCTCTGATGAAAATGTTGACATAAATATTGCAAATTCAACTCAAGATTTACCATTAAATAATATGCATAATGCTGAAACCTCAACAGATTCCGATATAATAGGAATAAACGGTGACCTGACTTCACAAATTCATACCCAAGTTTTGGCAGTAAATACTCAAAACATGGTGATCAAAGAACCTTGCATAGATTCCTCAAGAGATTTTAAAAAGCACTGCTTATTTTGTTATTCACTCATGGAAGATTTTTTATCACATTTATACATATCAGGTAAAATTATTTCTTTTATTAAAATAAAAATATAATTTATAAGGTGATACATCAAAACCTATATGCCCTAAGCACCTACCCTGTCAAGCTGTGAGTGTTGTGATTCCCTCATGTGTTGAATGTGGCAAAAGATTGACAAACGGAAGAATGATAATATTAGATTCAAATTTAGATTTTTGTAGCGAAAATTGCCTCCACATATTTTTGCCAAAATTGAGCATAAATTGTTTCTTATGCCAAAAGATTCTTACGAAGGAAGCATTTGGCCAATTTTGTTTGAAGGTAAATTTAATATTATAATACCTAATCTTAAATCCATATTTTGTAATAAACCTTTTAACAATAAATTAGCTTGAAAACAGGAATATTCGACAATTCTGTGGGGAAATATGTCTTGAAGGATTCAATCCTCTTGCCAATTATTGTTACCAGTGTCACAAAGATATTACTCATGCCACTACTCCACCTTTAGAACATATCATGCAACAAAATATATCCTTTGATCCAAATTTAAACAACATTGAAAATTCTCAAATGGAATACTTTTGTGATCAAAGTAATTTTTTTAAAGCTATTTTTTAAAAAATAAATCACCAATAATAGTGTGTATAGGAATTATAATTTAGCTGATATTATCTACAAATTTTTCTTTTGTAATAATTTGAAGACATAAGTTTATTTATTATTATATTTTAAAATATAATTTGTTTGTACATGGGCCAAGGTTTTACCTAAAATAAAAATTGAGGAAAATACAAGGGAGTTTAAGTATATGAATATTGTCTAGTTATAATTATAAATACTTATTAGAGTGGTAGGCCCGAGAAATATCAATAACAGAAAATGTTTTTTTTATTTATACAATAGTATTTTTAGAGTTCACCAATATTACCAATAATTGTATCTAAGAAGATACTTTTATATTTTCTTGATATTTTAATAAAGTATTTCTGTTTATTCTTGACAAAACATACAGATACTTAATATATTTTTGTTTAAAAAAAATTTAATTATCACATAACCTTCTTTTTTTGGTGGATTCTTATAGTATTTTCATTATTCTTTTTTTCTTACCATCGTAATTTAAAAAATCCTATAAAAATTTAGAGTGTAACAAAAATCAACTTACAAAAGATAGATAAATAACATCACCAAAACAAAAGCTTACATTTTATATATTAGTGTAGTGACCCACAATTATATAATATTTTTTAATATGTAGAATCATTCATGATGATGATGTGGAAGAAGGTAATGTTAGTGATATTATGAAAATTTCTTCTAATTTATATTATATGACCAATATTTTAAAATTATTTTATTCCAATAAGCTAAAGTAATGGCTCTATGCCAACTTATTTGTAATTAATGTTGTTAAACAGCTTGGCTAACTCAATATTTTATCCAGATAAATATTAATTAAGCTTAAATATTTAGGTCATAGATGGCACAAAAGGTTGGACATCTATTAGCTAAATTTTGAGGTTATATTTTTCTGAAAAAAGATATTTAATCGATAACAACACTTTGTAATATTAAACTCAAAGTATCTTTTTACTATGGAATTATGGGAGAATGTCCATTAGAAAAGAAAAGGTACTTAGACAGATAACCAGTTGAAAGTTCTTGACATAACCAGGTGGATTGGCCTATAAATGAATATGCCTTCATTGCTCAAATGTTAAAACATATTCAAATTTGTTGTATAAATAAATTGATAGTGATAAAAGTAAAGTTTTAAGACAGGTAGCAATTGCATCATACAAATTACAAATGCAGAGTAGTTTTTTTATGGAGTATATGTGGTAAAGAGGGACTTAGGTAAACTTGAAAATTCAGGCTTACATGATCGCTATAGGGTGTATTGCCAAGGGGGGGGGGGGTGATAATTAATTATTTGTATATTTTAAATCCCCTTTCCAAAAATTTTTTGGGAGGAACTTATTCCCCCTCCCTTTTTCTTTCTATCACAGAAAATTTCAAAGTTTTTTTTTTATGAGAATGTTAAATTTGAATTACCCTTTCTCCGCTTAAAAATATTTGTCATATCAAAATACTAGTATTTGTATTCTCTTCTTATTTTTTTTTTACAAAGAAAGAATCTCTTTTCCCCCATTCATTAATATATATATTGCCAGTCTAGAATTGTAGTGCTCCACTTGCAGAAAATGTTTAAAATGGGAAAATCAATGATTAAAGTTTAAAATAAAATATAGGAAGAAAGTTGTTGATCAATTTTGACAATAACTTTGGCGAGAATTAATATTTGGTAATCTAGTTTTTATTTTTATATATATAGGATAAATAAGTTATTATCCACTTCTTCTAATCTTATGCTTAGATTAACTGTAAACCTCATGAATTTTAGAAAGAAAAAAAAAATTGTGCAACAAATTCTGATTAATCTTGTAATATCCATATCTCCTCGGTATTTAAAAGTTATGTCTATTTTATATGATTTTAAACCCTAATTCCATTGGAATTTACCATTTACTAGTACCCTTTGATCAATAATGTGATATTATGATCTATGTATTATAAGTTTTCTATATATTGTTGGAGTAATTTGAGATATGTAAGTTTCAAATGTTTTTTTTATTCCTTGAATAATCTTATGAAATTACTACTGGTTATTTTTACTAGATACCCTACAACAAGAGGCCAACTTTGTAGATCTCAACCTGAACCCCATAATATGAAAAACATTTTTCCAACACATTCTGACCCCCCCCCACCCCCAATACAATTTGTAAAATAATATGCAATCATACCTTGATTTATTGATATTCAATTAAATTTCTAAATTATTGCGAACCTTAATATTATTGGTCTAACCCCAAAATAAAAAATAAAATCACATTCACAAATATTACCAAATCTATTTTGGGGTCATTCTTTTTCGGACCTTTACTTTTCACCGATACGTAGTTTTTAAAATAAAATGTGGGAGGGTTAAAAATATTTTTCAGGGTATCTATCTGCAGTATTCGAGGAATGGGCATTGATAAGCCAAGGCACAAAATATCGAATAAATATCAGAATCTGTGCCAAAAATCTTTGCGTGCCAATTCCCGGCTTCGGTGTTTTATATAAGGGGAAAAAAATAATAAAATTAAAATAATTTCTTGAATAATTGATAGTTTTAGAAGAGAAAAAGAATATATTTATTTCCAATACCTATGTGAGGCCGGAAATGGAAAAAAAACCCCAAGTTTTCTTTGTAGGAAAAAAACAAATGTTTTTTATTTTCAGTTTTTGTTTTAAAAAAACGTTTTTTTTTCGTTTTTCATTTTTATTCCTAGGGGATACTCATTTGATTAGTTTCAGTCCTATATAAGAATATTAATTTGGTGTTATCAAAGATTATTCAATGAAATTAAACTCAACAAAGAACTATTACATAATATTTTAAAATTTTGCTTGAAACCCCATAGCTATTATGTTATTATATAATGAATGGGATAATTTAAATTTGAATTAATCGGGTTTCAATGATTACTTAATGAAATCAAAATTTGAAATTAGACAGGAAGTAAGAAAAACAAGGCAAAGAAAGAAAAATGTAAACAGATTTTGGGTTTATCTAGATTACGTGTATTCAAATTAAAAAAAAATAATATAATATAATCAAGATTGTCTTTCCACCTTCCAACGACGGTCGCATGCTGGCTATTTTGAGTGCTCGACATGCAACGTGTGTCACAGGCCGGATCAGCCCATTCTGCAGTGCCTCGTGATTCCTTACAACGTTGCCACCAAGCGCCCTTCCCTGGCCAAGCTATGTGGGCTAGCCTGCTTGAACCTATTCATGAGCCAGAACAGGGCTACCATGAATAGCGGTGTCAATGTCAACGCCAGCAATAGATTGTCCTCCGCATCGAAAAGGGGGTTAGAAGAGGGAGGTCGATCGATGAGCAACAACGCGCTAGATGGCGTCAACGATAACAAGGAAGATAAGCGTTCCCACGAAAATTACGATGTCGATACTCACGATAAGGCTACCAAGAGTGCCGAACCTAGAAATGAGTTTTTTTTACAAAAAATTAATACCCATTATTTCAACCCATTAAGGTTGCTTTTGATATTTTTAATAACAATTATTGTGAATTGAACTGTAGGGTTTTTTAATGATATTTTTCTTGTTTCTTACAATTGAATCGACCTATAATGTAGCAGGGGAAAAAGAAGAAATAGAAAAAAATTCACTGTCCTGTTTTTTTGAAATCTCCCAGAGTATCTCTTAAGTTCCGCATCATTAGGTCTCGAGTGAGAGGGATTGAACAGGTTATACGCAACATAGTTTATAAGATTTGATATAAAAATAATTAACCCTGCTTCCAAGTGATAAGGTATTAATATGCAAATATCCAAAACAAAAGAAAGAATTGTTTTATCCTAAATAAATTATCACTTTCCCAAAAGTAAAAGAGGGTAAATAAAAGCAGTTTTGATAATAAAATGAAAGAAATAATGTGGAAAAAAAAGGTAAATAATTTCATATTTTTTATATAATGATTTTATTTATATATATATATTTTTTGAATCACGTGAATGTAGGAACAGCTGCGAATTTTGTGGCGCGTCTCTCTTGGGTAGATCTACCATGACGGCACTCACCGTAGACAGTAAAACCAGGTTTTTCTGTGGAGCTAAATGCGCTCAATGCTACAAAGAGGAAGAGAGGGAAAAAATGGGTATTTATTAATTAATTATGAAGTATTTTTATTTTTTTTGGGGGGAATATTCAAAAACTTATAAATCTGAAGTGTTTATAATAATTCGGTTAAGATTTTTTTTTTTTTTGTTCAAGTTGTATTTTTCCGAAGGATAGTTTTAGTTTAGGGAGCTAATATTTGATTACTTTGAGATTCGCTAGATCAATGATCACTTCTTGACCCACCAAGGCCCATAACTCCCTGGTTACAGGTAAGTTATAACTTGAAAGTTCGTTTGGGTAAAATTCGCGATCTATTTAACCAAATGTACATAATTTTCATTTATTTTCGAGGTGATCTTAAACCCCCCCTTCCCTCCTCTTCTATTGGAACGTCTGTTTTGGTGGAGATAAATTCGTTAAGGGTCTTTAAATGAAGACCCGCCCAGAAGCACTGAACGCGTAGTGCAAGTCAAATTTAAAATTATAAATATTAAAAAGTAAAACCAGGAGAACGCCACACCAATAACAACAACAAAACGCTAACGGAATGCTATTGGTGCAAGGGGCTGAGATTCACTAGGGATATGGTCTGCATCAAAGGTTTATCAGAAAATGAAGGTTTTTCTTTATTGTATCTTTCTTTCTTTCTGTACCTTTTCTTAACATTGGCTGATCATTTTTATGTTGACCAATATTAAATATGATGATGTCTGTATCAGCTGATAAAAATGCTTGTATTGGTCATTTACCTTTTCTGTTATTTTCTTTTCTTTTTACCTTTTTTTTTAAATTTATTTTTTTCTGACAAAAAGACGTTACGAATCACTTTTGCACCCAAAATTGTGTGGCCCTATACAAATTGAGCAAAGGAGATCTGAGAGAGGAATTGGGAGGTGGTATGGAATATGATGACATGGGTGCGGATAATTCATCTAGTCGTCTCAGGATGATCCAATGCGATAATTGTTCCAAGGTTTTTTTTTAACATAAATTATGAATTGCATCATTTTAACAATTATTCCCATTTTTTTAGTTTAATTATTTTTTGATCTCTCTTAAGCAGTTATATTTTCTACATTTTTACACAGAAATTTTTTTTTAAGCCTACCATTTTTCGAAATAGACTAATTTTGTATTTATGAGGTTAAAGGACATACTTAATTTAATGATTCCTAGCAATATATTCAAACGTACCCCAACCCACCCAACCCCCCCCCCCCTCTAAGCTGCCCTTGCTCTGCGGGAGACTTGGATCCTATTACCTAAGGTGTTAGACTTAAATGAAAATTTTTTTTTTATATAAAACATGCAAAGAATTTCACGAAAGCCACCGATTTTTGTCAGTTCTACGTGAGTGAGAAAGAGAGTGAGGATGGACTTAAAAAACAATTCTGTTCTTTCCCGTGCATGGCCCATTACAAGATCGCTTTGGGTAAAAGGCAGCAAGATAAGGAAAAAAACGGTCAGCAACAAGCTTTGCTGTCGGGGAATAACAGTACGGGAATGAAGGGACCCAGTTTGCATCAATACCACCCTAATTCCGCAAACGGTAAAAATCGAAATCGATTATTTTTTTAATGTTTCGAAGTTATTCGGATTTAGTAAAACTCTAATCCTTTAGGAATTGCACGTTTTTTTTAAATATAATTCCAAGAGGCATAATTTTATGGGAATCATATTTCAGGTAATTTTTTATCCAAATCTCTTTATAATTAATTTCTACATATCGATTTAAAAAAATTCATAAAGAAATGATATTCACGGGGTTAGGGAGGTTACTATTACACATTGCATTATTAGAAAAATAATTGAAAAAAACGTGTCATAAATGATATAAAGTAGTAAAATTTGGTTAAATGACCCATATCACCTTAATTTTCTAAACCTCTACGGCATATGGTGTGGGATGCATATTATGTGAGGACTAATAAATTCTATGGGTGGTTTTAATTGTGAACATCGTAAATGTTATTCATAAATTGTACTATAAAAAAAATAAATTATATTAATATTTTTTCTTTTCCCCGTTCGTTATTCCTTCTGTTAAATCTTAACCAATCATATATCGATACCACTTATCAATCCTCAATAATTGGCTCATATTCACGTATACCATGATTACGCGGAACAATCCTAAATAACTATCTGATTAATCAAAATGGCTATCTTCACGTGATAAACCAAACCAAATATTCCATTAATTCTCGATTAATAAAGTAAAAAAAAATTTAAATAATTTTTTTCATTATTCTAAGAATCTAATGCTCAAATTTCAGTTTTTGATTCTTGGGTGAATATAATAGTACTCTATCTCCAGCCATTTTATTCGATAAATCAAATTAGCAATTTATTTTATAACCTTCTGGTCTCCATTAAATTTGTATTAACCATAAATTTAAAAAAAAAAATGAAAATGGAAATTATAAAGAATATAATATTTTAAAAATAGCACTTTATGACTGATTTCATGTAAAAGGGTATGGTATTCTATAATATTACATTTTTTTATATTGGAATATACTAAATCGGTCCTTGTGGGGGGAGGGGGTTGGTGCTCTAACATGTTTATTATGAGGGTACTCTTTCGTATAGATGTAATGTAATTAAATCTGTCCCAATCCACGTTTGAGGGATCCTGTCAATTAGATTGAAAGAATGCATTTTTTTTTCTAAGTAAGGCTATAGATTTCTATTTCGCGCTTTTAAATAGATTGAAATTGGATAATTATTTGAACATATTAAAAAAAAATGTTTTTTTTTTGGTAATAAGGACAAGGATGAAAATACGAAGAAATTACCCGTAAAAAATAGGACAAACCTGCACAGGAACGTGTCCAGCCTTCTCACCCGCAATAATCAAATCGATATTGACCATTTGTAATTTGAAATTTTATTTCTCTTTTATTTTAAATTAGATCCCGAGGTATTTAATCCAGACCTGGGTTCGGTGTCAAGTCAAATTGAGCTTCTGTTGGGTTTATAGTCATCTAAGCTAAAGATATTCCCTTGGAAATCTTTATTTCTAGAAATTGGGGGGGGGGCGTAGTTATAGATGCTTCATCTTTCTATTTATATCAAGTTAGTTACTAAGATATATATATATAGGATCTAGTGGTGGATTCAGCCATGTTACTTATCTGGTACATCAAGTTTAAATTTACGTTTTAATTATTTCTGGGGTTGACGAATATGTAATTTATTTTATTCGAAATTAAGTAAGTAAAATTATTTTCCCTTAATGTTAAGACGCTATACCTCTACCAGCAACCCTTCGTCCTTCAGGGTCCTGCTCGATATTCTCAAAAAAACTGGGCTTAGCGGTGGGTACAATGGACCAGGACAAAACGGCCCAGTGTGGCCCGTTCCCCCCTGCGACGTTAAAAACAAATCTACTTCCATTAAGCCACTCGTCCGATCTCAAGGCACCTCCACGGACAAGTTCACCCCTTTATCTAAAACGGACCGAGAATGTCAGACCGGTAAAAAACCCCTATTTTTTATAAGTGGAGAAAGATTTAAGAGTGTTAAGTAAAAAGAGTATACAAGTTAAAACCGAATTGTTTTTTTATATTTAGATGACATAAAACCGCGATTCCTTCCCATCCCAATTCCGGTCCCGTTCTACATTCCTTTCCCTCTACACATGTACACTTCTTTTACCCCAGTGCCCATAGCTATCCCCGTACCCATCTTAGTTCCGGCGTTTATCCCCACCACTTACAACACCGGAGAAGATATTTGCAAATACATGAAAACCGTCAAAGTATAATTTGACCATTTTTTTTAAAAAAAAAAACCTCGAATAATTGTTTCTCTTTTTTTTTAAAAAAAAAGGATAAAGTTCCTTCAGATCCGCTTCAAGCTGAACTGCTGATGATCGCCCAGATGGTGGCCGATAATGATTTAGTTAACCCCGAGGCTCAATTCGTCCCAGACAGGGTTAGGCTGAAACCTCTCAAAGGATCGGTTGGTTTCAAGGAGCCCCCGGTCACGTACAGTGAACCAAATACCGGTAAACCCTTTTTTTTATAAATTTAAGCTAAGAATTTAGGAATTCTTTCGATTTTTATGGATATAATAAAATTTGGCTCTTTTTATTTATTTAATGTTATAACAACAAATATATTTAAAATTTTTATAAAAAAAAAATTATATAACATTAACAGATGACATTAATGGCTCGTTCGTAAACAATAACCATAACAAAACACACCAAAGCAACATGGTCCAGACAAATAGTAATATTAATGCAACCGGGGTCCAAATGTCCCAACAAGACGAAGTATATCAAATGGCCATTCAATTCGATTCCTTGGCTAACGGGGAAGTAACTACTGCTATACCCATACAAAACGGTATGCATCAAACTGTTACAAAATCCTATGACATTTGACCGATGAATATTGATTCTATTATGAGTTAATTTCCCAATTTACTGGAATATTATCGCACATTCTGTTGTTTCATTGGAAAACTAGCTCATTAATAAAGAATCAATATTGATCAATTCACATACATTTGACTTGTAGTATAATTTATAAATTTAAGATTTTTAAATATTTACCCAACTTTATATATATATAGTATTTTCCTACTAGAAGCTTCAAATAACAAAATTTCAAACCAAGTCATAGCGGGGATTATAGTTAATGCCTGGCCTGTCCAAATTTTTTCCCTTCCCAGCCCGGTTTCAATTTCTTATTTAAGGTTAACCGACGCAATTTTTGAATCTTTTTAATAAAAAAAAATATAAGGCCTACACCAAAATACATGTTACTAAACACCAAAATAAAAAACTATTTATAATCTTGGTGGTTAGATTAATTCTTTAAATATATATACAATTAAAAAATTTGGCCCTGCCTGGCCAGAAAAAAATGTTTACGCACTGTACCCTGGCATTGCAGATCACTAATTCTTACATCTCTGAATCCAATCCTCTACCAGATTATACTAAATATTTAGGATACTCTTGGTTTCACAAAATCCAATCTGTATTTAATCATTTTATACACTCGTCATTCAAAATTGCAGACAAGTTTTGATCCGAAAAATTTGTGTCACTTAAGTTGAGCTCAACTTTGTTTAAGATATATTTTTTTTTTTAAAAGAGAAGCTAAATGGTATTCGAGTTGAACAAAATTCGATGATTTAAACATGAAAATAGTTATAAATCGAATATTTAAAACAGCTGACGGTTCCATAACATACGCTACGATAGATCCCTCGACAGGGACCCTGACTCCCATCGACCCCGCCCTTCTCCAGCAACACTTACAGAGCCTTCAAAATATGCAGAATTTTAATCTTCAACAACAAGGTGTCAACCAATCCCATCAACATAGGGAATCCCTTGCTGACCAATCTCAAAGCAATGACAGGTTCCATTTTTTTAACATTGAATTATTCTAGCCTTCCTTTAAAAAATATTGAGATGATATAAGTTTTAAGATAAATAATTTATATCATATCAAATATCTAACCATAACATCTCTGAAAAATAGGTTTTGACATTTTATAACCCTAATTATTTTTTAATTGGCCGGTTAAAAAGTTCTGCCGCAATTTCAAGTACCCTATAAAAGAGGTTTACCTTTACCAAGTCAATATTTTTTGATGCTGAGATAAATTCATTACCGCAAATGCAGATTTTTTATTTTCTTCAGGGCGTTTACTGAATGGCCTAACTAACTATAGCTTTCATGTTGAATATATATCGACAATTAGAACTACAAACGAATTGGACACCTTGGACGGGAACGAAGTGGGGGCCATCGACTATTCCCCTCCTTACACGTTTAGTCTCCAGGAGCAGCAGCAGCAGGTCCAATCGTCTTCTCCCAACACCGGAAACGTCAAGCATTTGGAACCAGCTTTTGGGGTGGGAGCTTTCAAATCATGGGCCCGTCTCAGGAATAACGAAACCATCGCCAATCTCAATCTTAACAACCTCGATTTGGCCATAGAGTATAGTTTATTTATATATTATTTATATCGTGATTTTTTATACCCTTAAGTTTCAAATGTTTATTTTAAACAACTTAGGACAATTGAATCTGAAATACATTAGTTTCTTTACCAGCTTAAAGTCTTACCAACGTGAGATAGAACAGTTTTTAACCAAAATTTTCATATGGGGGTTTGGGGGGGGGAGGGTGGTGGAGAGTATATAACATACTTTTTGCCCTCCCCTCACCCTCATACATTACCTTATACTAAATCTACCCCCCAATATTTATTAAAAGACAAAATGGTGAGCTAATGAAGGAAGACCCCTTGTATTTGAACACCGAGGATTTGATCAATGCCTTAGCCATTTTTGTCAGGGAGATCAAGAAACCTAGCCAAGAGGATTACACTTCGGATTCGATCTATTACTTTTGCTTAGGTAAAATTCCTAAAATATATTTTTGTAGTATAGTTTTTACATAGTCGCCATGTTCTTTTTCAAATCACATCACAGGCACTTGCAAATCTTTTTTAATAATTTTTAAAACAAGATGAACTTTACTCAAGAATTAAACGCTAATAAGAAAAATCATATACTTTTATTAAAATTCAATTGAATTAATGGCTGGAGGATTTATTTTCTGACTAGATCATCATAGTTGCATGCTGACAAATTTAAAATGTCTGGTTTTTTTTGTTCTTCTTCGTTTTCAACGTTTTTTTAAACATCCCTCTACATTACAATAAAAGGTATTCAAGCTTACATTTACGAAAATGGTAGATCTGAAAATGTGTTCACGGACACGCTATACGGGATTTTCACTGATGCCTTGAACGAGGTCCTGCTCAGGTTCGAACCCCAAATAACCACCGAAGGTAAGTTAGAAAAAACCAATACGATTAATTTGCCCTGACCTTAATTCCTTAAACACCGCGTTCTAGAACGTTTTTCAGTGTTTAAAAATTGGGAGATAAAATTATTACATTTTTAAACATAGCGAATATTTTAAAATTCAGCCCTTTAGATGGATAAGTGAATCCGAACCGAAATATTAATGCTAGATAATTATCTTTTTTTTCTTATTTATGTAGCTTCTTTTTTTTTTATCTCGAATGCCTACTTTTGGCTTCGCGTTCCTTCTAGACCATTCTTGGATCCCCCAAAACCTATTTCGTTTTTATTATTGCTCTGTTATTCATTTCTTTTCATTTATTTTTTTCCCCTCTCGTTTCAATCTTTTTTTTAGATTCCTAATTTTTGTTTATAGGCATGCTCTTGTCCCGTATAGACGAGGAGTGCTTGTGGGAAAGCATGCAATTAGGCGCACATTCGCCTCACGTCCTTTTAAACACGCTCCTCTATTTCAACACCAAGTATTTTCACCTCACCACCCTGGAAGCTCATTTGAGCTTATCGTTTCAACACGTGGTTAAGTGCCTCAAGGAAAACAAAACTTCTACCAGGGTAACCTTTTATAATAAACTAACCATTTTAAGGGTAAAAAAAAATTAGCTCTCAAGGGCATTGCTTAAACGCTACTGTTGTTGGTGTTGTTTAAAAAGTCTGATTTGGGTCTACTTTGGCTGAAATAATATTATGTAAGCATCTAAATTTGGCAAATAACATATCCAAGCATCTGCCAGTTATGAGCAAAATTTTTTAGGCCTTCATGGTGTTATTTTTGGTTATAATCTTAATCGGGCCATTTTTTTAAAATCGACCTGAAACGGGCTTTTTAACAACACAATAACTGTTTTTATATCAATGTTTATTCTTTATTAATCAAATAATATGTAATATCTCATGGTTGGAAGGAAGTTGGAGAACAGATTACACTATTAGAAATTGTAAGGAATCCTTTCTCAAAAAAAAATGATGCTTATAATTGTAAATTCTAACGGGTTTTTTTAAAATTTATATTTAAAAAAAATATATATAAAAGCCTTCAACAGATGATCAGGACGAAGAAAATTCAGAAGGAAAAGGCGATTTTAGTAACGCAAATGCTGATTCTGCGATCACAAAATCTGTACTGCGGTATTATTCCCAAGGAAAAGATGACGAAGGTTAACAGCCAGCAAATCTTTTTTATTTACTCGCCCCCCCCCCCTTCCCCATTTCAATGTTTTTTTCTATATTATAATGTAATGAGTATGATCATCAAATTTGTCTATATTCAGTGAATTCACGCACTGATTTGAAATCAGAGCGACATCATTACCAATAAGTATTTATACTTTCAATTTTAACCGATTCAAGTGAATCGACAGTCACTTCTACACAAATTTATATTAAAAGAGTTAGTTAATTTTGTAATGTGAAGGCCGCATTTTGATAGGTGAAAGCCAAGGGATGGATGATTGACATTATAACAAGAAACATCTGTATTATCTTTGTATACCAGTTTCAGCTCAGTTTTTATAAATATTAAGTTTTTTTTAAAATTTATAATTTTCTCTTCTCGAATTTTATATGAGGTGAAAAAAATTAAACCACCCAAATTTAGCGATCTTTTTCAAACCCGGCCCGAACTTTTTTTTTTAAAAAAAAGATTTACCTGCACAGCCCGAATTTATTTAAATATAGAAAATTAATTTTTATAATTACTCAAAATAAAAGACATATGTTATATATGTGGCGTCTAGTTTCTATAAATAGAATCAAATATTTTTAATTTTACATTATAAAATTCAACATTAAAATTGATAAATTTAATACAAGGCCTTACTTTACCCAAATTTTTTTTTAAAAAAAAATATTAGACCCCACCCAGCTTTCAGGCCGGGCCTACTTTTGCAGATCTCTAGCCCAAATATGCTAGATTAATATATATATATATTAATAAAATGAAAACTTTTTTTAAATGTATTTTTTAAAAAATATCTGGACAGAACAAAACGTATCGATTTACGAACAAGACGAAAATATACAGCAACCACTGAAATGTCCTGTCAGACTCTACGAGTTTTACCTATCCAAATGGTAATTATTATTATTATTAGCAATTCTAAACTTTTCAAAACAATAATAGAAAAAAATGTTCCTTGCAATTTCGTTTTCTTTTTAATGACCGGAAATTTATTTATTTTTATCATTTTTTATAAAGTCCCGATGAAGCTAGGAGAAGGAACGACATATTTTATTTGCTGCCCGAAACATTGTGCCTACCCGACAGCCCCCTCTGGTATTCCAACGAGAATCTATCCCCCACCATACTAGCAAAAATGTTCAATCGCATATTCATAGTCAAAGAAACTCTGGAATCTAACATAACTATCTAAAGATATATATATTTAAATAAAAAAAAACTGATTATAGATGGCGTTGGTCCTCCTTAATACTACCTATTTTTATAAAGCAATTACATCAAACATCCCCCCCCCTCAACCGAATCCTTAAAGAAGACATTTTATTTGACGAAATAATTTTGATCCGAATCAATTCAAGTGATTGGTTGTCAATTTTTTAAAAAAAAAATTTATTTTTTCTTAAAGTCTAAAATCTCAAGTTAAATGAAATAGTATATAATAATAATAATCATCATCCTAAAATATAGACTTAATATTTACGTGATATACTTGTAAGATAAATTATAAGTATACAAACGAATATATATATATTATCATATATAAATAAAAGATATGCATCCATAAAATTTCTTTACATTTTTTTTGTTACCGTTATAAGTGAAACACAGATAGTGATGATTTATATATTTCATATATATATATATAATTTCTATTTTATTCAAAAATTAATATTATAATAATAACAATTTACACAACCATATTATAATTATTATTTTTCATATTTAAAATAGTCTTTTTCCCCCCTGAAAGCCATTATTTAGCAGTTGTCAAGATGGTTTTATTATTATAATTTGTGTGATTCTTTTGTACATAATTCTTGGCCTCTTTTATCTTGTATCTATCATCTAAGGGAATATTTGTTAACATATAATAATTTTTTTTGACTATTAAATTATATCATGATATATTAAAAAAAACCCTTTGTAAATAAAAATATATATAATTATTGAATTATATATTACTTTTTTTTAATTAGAAATAATATTTTTTTTTTTCTAGTGGATATTAGATTTATTCTAAATATATATTTTTTTAATAAAAAAAACCAGCCATAGCAATTTTAATCACACGAATAAAATTTAACGCTAACGGCCCTCCTTCAACCTCATCTGTTCCATGCAAAATTATTTTAAAAAAAATGGATCCCGTTATAACTTCCTTCATCAACTACACAACAAAAACTGTTAGGAATATATAATAATTAATAATAAATTTTAATTATCATATCAATAAATATGTTTGACCTTGTTCTTATTCGAAAATAAAAAAAATGTATAAAACATAAAAATCCAAAAAATTGATCCTTTAGCAAAAAGAAGGAATAAATTTGCAAATGAAATATGATTTTTTTTTTATTAGGGCGTGCGAATAACAAAAGCCAATCAGGTCGGACATCATCTTCTGTCCTATATAGTTATTTTATGATTGTATATATATCAGAGTTGTTAAAAGATACTTTCTAAATGGATCTAGATAAAGATATATCCGTCTAAAATAATATCTAGATACAGATATTTTAATCAAAAATCTATCTAGATACAGATACCACATTTTTATATCTAGATACAAGTATCTAGATCCTTTAACAACTCTGATATATATATACAGAGACCTGCAGATATAGTGTTGTTAAACAGTCGATTTTTTTAAAAAAGGCTAACTCAATAATTTTAGCCAGAAAAGATATAGCTTAAGCCCCAAGATTTTGGCTAATAGATGTCCAAACATTTGTTACTTCTACAAACAAAATCTTCAGGCTTGTGAAAGATTATTCTGGATAAAATATCGAGTTGGCCATTTTTAAAAATCGGTTAAAAATGAGCCGATTAACAACACTACTGTGGAGATACTATTTGCATGGCACTGCCCGGGTTTTAAAAAAAAATTGTTTATAGCTTATAAAAGGCGATTTCAAATATTTGGTCGGCCTGGATATATGTTTTTTTTTTAAAAATTAAAATAAGGCCTGGCCAGTCTACCCGGGCCTGCGGGTCTCTGATACATTATTTTAAACGATTTGCTAATCACGATAAAAAGAAACCGAATAATTCGATTTTATTCGCAAATTTTTTTTGTTTAAAAAAATCGTCATTTTAAGAAAGAGTTAAACAAGTCAAGCGATGTTTTGCAAAAGTAAAAAAAAAAATTTTGATCTTCTCGTAAGAAATAATAAATTACTTCATAAATTTTTTTTTATTTTTCAATTTTAAAGTTAAATCGCACGAATCGCTGAGTTTTATTGATCCAGGCTCTCGGGTAACGTTGCTAAAGGGCTCGTTTTGAGTCGATTTTTTTTAAAACGGCTAACTTAATATTTTAACCAGAAAAAATATTGCCTAAGTCTAGATGTTTCGATAATAATATGTCTTAGACTTTTTGTTCCTTCTATGAGCAAAATCTTGGGGTTTGCGTAATATTTTTCCTGGATGAAATTGTGAGTTAGCCGTTTTTAAAAGGCTCAAAACGAGCCATTTAACAACACCACTCTCGGGTCTAGGTCATTGGAGGGGGGTACATTTTTTTTTAGACATGGATATTTAATGAAAACTAGTAAAATAAGTGCCCTCACATCAGCAAGAAATTTTATTTTTTTTAGAAACAAAAAATTCAAATTACTTATTTTAAGAATTATAATTATTCTTGTTTTTCTTTGGAATTTGTAATACCGATTCCGTTTCTATTATATAGTTTTTTTTATGACTTGGAATAAGTTTTTACAAGAAAAAAAATATGGATTACATTGATACTCTAAAACATTGCTCATGTTTTAAAATTGAAATGTTTTAAATTTTTAGGGAAAATAAAAAATAAAATGAGAATTAAATTTTAAAATTTTCTTGTTTCTTAAAACTTAAAAAAAAATGGTTGTTACCAAATCCATTTCACCATGAGGACCAACCATAATTGTCATGTTTTGGCAGTCTCAAGGATTCAATATTTGTTTGGTTGGATTTAGCCTTTTTTTTAAAAAAAAAACTCTCTAACTCAAGATTTTTTACAATATTAAAGTTAATTTTTTTTTAGTGTGAATATTCGACTTGATCCTTAGTAATTTGTGGAACATTAAATAGATAAAAACTGTGATTACAACAAAACATTTCAAAAAATAATATGAATATTTTATTTATTATATATTTTATAAAGATTTATTTGGTTTTATCTCAATATAAGATTAAAATAACATAAAAATTTAAATAAAAACAATATAAATTAAAGATACAATTTAATAATTGAGTTCCCAAAAAGGAACCATGTCCAAAAATTTCTATTTGAATTTTTTGGATACTGGCTAAATTTGTAAGAAGTCACATTTTATTGCCTAGATTTTTTAAAAATTTATGTTAATTGTGAAGCATGGCCATTTGTGGAAGTCACTGTTGGAGTAAATATGAAGTTATGGCTAATAAATATTAGTTTTGTTATTTTTTTTAAATCAGATTTTACTTTATTATATAATAACTATTGGTTGTTTATTAAATATATGATTAAGATTTTAAAACTAAACTAATTTATATAATAAAAGTTTTTTCAAAGAACAATTTTGCTCCAAAAATAATAATATAAAAATACATTTAAATATTTTGGATATATTAATTTTTAAATAAATTTTTTCAGACACACATTCCAAAATTGGAACAGTAAATTCATTTTTTGGTTGGGATGGAAGAGAATAATATATTTGACAAGAGTTCATTAAATACCTTTATTAAATATTTTTTATCTATATCATTAAATTACAATATAATCAATTGCATTGTTAATGGCAAGTTAATAAAGATATATCTGAAATCTAAAATAATGTAAAGCAACTTATGAAAGTTTATCATTTCATATTTTTTTAAATAAAATTTTTAGGGTAAATTAAAATTCACTTACAAAAATTGACCTCTCCTACCTTCAATTTGATCATTATAAATTCTATTGAGCCTCCTAGCAATACAAAAATCGGTAGGAACCTGTATAGTCCAAAAGAATTCTTACCTGGTATTTTATCTAAAAATGCTGAAAAAATATTGCTTTTCATATGCACAAATTAGGATCGATGCATTTAAAATATCTTATTTATGTGTGTGTGGTAATGGTTAGAAATTTTTAGTATTAATATTTATTCTGTGTTAACAACTTATACTGATAATAACAGTTCTAAATAACATGTTAATTTTAAAGTTTTATTTCAACAATGGTAAAAGGACTATTTTATCTCATTACAACTTTACAGGTTCAAAAATACGTTAGACAATTTATTTTTCTATTCAAAGATTAAAGGGTCTTTATCTATAATTATACAATGATATTTAATCCATGTTTAAACTAGATAATATAAATATAACTTGTTTAATATATTTGTCATTAAAATAAACTAAATTTATTTATATTTTAGTGTTTTAGGCATAGGATGTGGATCTTAGAATCATATTACAAATTTAGGGTAATATTTATTTTATATATAACATAAATATAAAGAAAAAAAATAATGACCAAAAATATAAATATTTATCGATAAAATAGGATAAGAATTTAATATCGACAAGTGTATTATATTGGCCTACATCCAAAACCTGACTTTTGTTAAATTTATGATTTCGTGCGGACTTATTTGTTAAGGGTGCAAACTGCATAGTACCAATCATCATCAGGCATTTAATAAAGCAAAGTAAAAAAAATCTCTCTTAAACATAGGGTTTAAAAAAAAACCTTCATGTATTGAAAATTCTCGCACTATTTTTAGAAATATAACTAATGAATATCTAAAAGAAAGACAATGAAGTATAAATGTGACGAAAAAAAAGGAAACCTTACCTTCAAAAGTCGAAAAAAATAATTTTTTATTCTTATATCAATCTAAATTAATTTTAGGAGTATTTAAATTGTGCATGATTATTATATTTATAATGATTGATATATATATATATAAAAACGCTTTTATATAATTGAAATCTTATCAAAAAATTTTCATTTTAGAGATTATTAACTTTTGAGCGTTGTTTCTTCACTTGAATACTAAACAGGCAATTAACTTTATTATAAATATGAAGAAAAAAAATATAGGAAGGTTGTTAAATTTACTCCTATGTTTTAAACCTCTTTGTTGGCATTTTTTTTAAAAAATAAAAATAATATATCATGTAATGACCTTAACCCCAAACCCTATCAGAAATTTTTGTAATAAAAAAAATCTTTTCTAGAGCCATGCCTAGAATTGTTCCAACTGAACCGAAGTAGGATTGACTAAAAATCTGGATCTTAAATAATTTAAAATTTTGAGTTCAGGTTTGGATTTGGACTATCGAAAAGTTTTTTTATTTCCGGGTGAATTTGGATCTTGGGAAAACTTTAAAGAGGATTCAAAATTCATTTATAAATCTTTAATTATAATACACAAATCATTTTAATTTTTCCTATGGTATGATTTTTTTATTTTCCGCAAAAAATCCATCTTCCCCTTAGAGTACAATATATTTTTTTCAAATCTTTCTCCAGATGTGAACCGGGGCAGTAAGAGTTTGAATCGGAGAAAAAATTTTATATCCCATTCCCGGGATCGAAACTCAATATGTTTTATTTTAAATTGGTATGCACAAGGAAAATAAAGAATTTTTTTTGAAAATTATTTTGTGTAAAAAAAAAAAAAATTTTAAAAAAATTCCTTAAAATATTTAAATTATATTATAATGTAATGTAATTATTGAGATAAATACCTCATAATATATTCAATAAGCATTTACTCCCCCACCCCCCTTCCTCCATTCTCCTTCCCTTTAAATATTTTTTATAAATGTGTTTCTTTCCTTAAGGAAAGTCAAAAAAAATAAATAATAGGTAATTTAAATAAAAACTGAAAGTAGGTAAAATGAAAGTTTTTTTAAAGTAGATTATAAAAATAAAATTTAGACTTTTTTTTATCTCATTTGTTATATATATATTTATAAATGAAAAATTGAAAATGATTTATATAACATAAAAATTACATTTTTTTTAAAAAAAAATTTTTTTTATAATTTTTTTATAATTCAGGGGACATATTTAAAAAAATATTTTTAAACAAAATTTTCTAAAAAAAAAAAAAATAATGAAAAAGAATAATTCTTTTTTTTGACAAAATATTTGTCACAGAGAAAAGTAGGACAGAATAATGACACTTTGAAATATATAGGTATCACCTACCTTTGGTCTTAGTCCATATTCAATTTTATATTTTATTTTTTCTAAATAAAAAATATTCGAAATATCCTTTTAATTTTAATAATAAATTCGTATATCAATTAACAGGTAAAAAAAATCATAAAATATTCAATATAATTTTACGATAGAAATATAAAATAAAATCGTTAAGAGAATAAATGTAAACAAGTAAAAAAATATTTTAGCTATTTTCTGAAGCAACCTCCTATCCAGTTTCTTTAACTTAGAATGCTATTACATATATATATATAATCATAAATTATCATCTCTCATTGTTATACGTGAAAAGTTCAAAGAAAAAAAAGCCATTATTATAATTAAATTATTCATTATAATAATTTTTTTTTAGATAAACTTTAAATAATAATAGTAAGATATCAAATTAGAATTTTTCCTTACAGCTATTTTGTTTAATGTAATTTTTTTTTAGATTAAGAAAAAAAGGCAATTAAACCTTATCATATAGCTTATTATTTGTTGATAACCAAATCATAGTTTTTTTGAACCAAATCATAGTTTTTTTAAACCAAATAATAGTTTTTTTGAACCAAGTAATAGTTTTTTTGAACCAAATCATAGTTTTTTTGAACCAAATCATAGTTTTTTGAACCAAATAATTCTTCTAGAAACGTCTCTTCTAAACATAATGGTTTATGCACATTATTTCTAAATTCAGTTTCATTTTAATCACTAAAACTCTTGACTTCATCTGTTAATTATTTTTATATTTCTTGGGAATGTAGTAATTTTCTTTTGCTATCTTTAAGGACACTGGCACATTTATTCTATAATTTGTGGTATCCATTCTTAAAAACTAATTTTGAGATCCAATCAGAATATTCGCTCAATCATTTTCGGGATTATGCTTTCCTCTCATTAAACCCACGTACATATATATATAACTTTCCCTTTTGCTTTAACCTCTATATTAATCTAAAATTATCGGTTTTATGGTAACGGTGACCAAATATAACTTCCATTTTTCTAATATATTTATTTAACGCGCCAGAATGCCTTCCTCCGACAAGGAACAGATTTTAGCCGAAGAAGAATATAACAACAGATACCTATCAAATTCCAACCACTGTGTCAATGCCGCATCTGGCTCACATAATGGCAACTCTTCGAATCAAACTCAGCTTACATCCCTATTCGCCTTCGGGTGTTTTGTCGTAGCGACTATAGCGTGCTGCCTCGTGTTCCCCATGTTCTTCATACAGGTCAACGGCGTTAAAACGCAACAAGTTCTGTTGTTGGAGAGACTCCAGAACGAAATAGTGGATGAACAGCCTCAGATCGAAGGACTCAGCAGCTACGTCAAATCTGTCGTCATTGTGAGTATTACCTTTGGGAATTATAATTTTAAATATGTCCGTAATTTTGATAAATTTTCAAAAACCGTTTTTTTTTTCTTAATAACTCATAAAATGAACATAAAAAACTATTAAAATTGCCAAACTTGTGTGTTGTGATTCGTGTAAGATCTATCATCGTTGAATTTTTAAAAAAAAATAGGGGGGTTAATGGAACCGGCCATGTTGGTCCACATTTTAAAGTAGCTATAACCCCTTTTTAAAAACTATCACGCGAGTAAATCATAATAGAATAAATGATACACCCTTCCTGAAATATCTAAATAATATAGGAGCATTCAAATGAGAATTATATTTTAAAAAAAAAATTCTTGAAATAATAATAATTATTTAAATTAAATTTGCAAAAATTTTAATCTGGATTAATAACCAATTTTTTTTTAGATTTAAGAAAAAAACTTTACATATATATATATAGTAGTTCCATAAAAAACTAACAATTAGAATAAATTGGTTTGTTTTTTAAAAGCCTTCACTTTTTTAAATAGCTTAATGCTATATAAATATATTTTTTTTAGGCGAATTACATTATTCATTACGATACTAATATCCATTCCTTTTTCAAAGAGAGCTTTTTTTGAAGAATAAGTTTAATATTTTTACAATTAACCGGTTTCCTTTTTTTATTTGAAACCTCTCATATTGAGCATCTTTCTCGCTCGTTGCTCGATTTTTCTGACATACATATTCATCATTCCTTCGCTATTTTTGCACATCAATCAACAGACCTCTCACAGGTGCTTTTGCTTTATTATTGGCAGCATTTTTTTTATTTTTTATACCTATGGCCATTCCCCACGAACGCAGAATCTGCCCATCCTGCATGAAACCAATACATTTAACAAATGATGGAGAATTTTTTGTTCATGGACCAATCTCTAACAGGTGTCCGCATTCAAAACACACGCCTCTTTCTCAGATCACTTACTCGCTTCCCCCCCCTCTCATAGATTCTCCCTTAAACCAAGTAATTGGTGCCTCATTCTCAGATATTTTTCTTAACTCCACAAAACCAAGTATCATAACGAGAATACCCAAAGGAGCGAGAATACAAGTAGCTAAATCTCTCAGCAACTGCATATCTTCTCTTTTGCAAAATTTTAACAAAGAAGAAGAATGGTTAAAATTTTTAAACTTTGGGTACAATACTTTCAAAATACCTGACATATCACTCCAAAAATCATTAACTCAACAAATAAAAGATGCCTGTTTAAACATCAACACTCATCTTCATGAGTCCCAAATCTTCAGACATCCCATAAACAAAAAAAAAATAACCCCACTTCAACAAAAAGCCTCATTGATTTCGAAGAAAATTGACAGTCTTAATATCAATGGGGCCCTCAAACTCATTTCAACCAATGACACTCTGGCGGAATCCAATTTAGAAACCTTAATTAAGCTTCGATCAAAGCATCCCACAACAACATTTATGCCAATATTGCCCCAACCCTTCTCCCATTGTGCAGCAGATTTCACACAGGAAGAAGTAAGGAAAGCAATCCTATCTTTTCATCGGGATTCGGCTCATGGTCTAGATGGGATTAGACCAATTTTTTTACAGGACATTACCTCTCCTGTGATCTGTACACAGGTTTCAATTCTCACTAAAATCACAAACTTAGTCAACAAAATCCTAAATGGAGACGTACCCAGCTTTATTACCCCCTTACTATTCGGTGCCAGACTCATCGCACTCCAAAAACCAAACAAGGACATTCGGCCCATCGCCATTGGTTCAACTTACCGTAGATTGGTCGCTAAATTAATCGCATCTAGAATCAAACACGATGCCGCACACATTCTAAGCCCCTATCAACTTGGTGTAGGGATACCTGGTGGGTGTGAAGCTGCTGTGCACTTAACAAGAATTCACCTTGAAAATAACCCAAAAAACGAATCCCTAGTAAAAATTGACTTCTCTAACGCCTACAACACTCTTTCGCGCAACACGTTCCTACATTCAACTTGCTTCCATTTCCCAGCTTATACCAAATTTCTTTTCTCTTGCTACCAATCACCAACAATCTTACAATTCAACAAAGAAAAGATACTTTCTGTCGAGGGTATCCAACAAGGTGACCCTCTCGGATCCCTTCTCTTTAGTCTTGGAATCAATGACATGATAAAATCAATAAACTCTTCATGTACTCTATCGCTCCACGCTTGGTATATTGATGATGGAATCTTGAGTGGTCCCAGTAGTGAAATTGCCAAAGCAGTCACCATAATTAAAGAAATGGGCACAGCCATTGGACTTTCGCTTAACCAGAGCAAATCTGAATTCTCACTTTTAAATTCTAATGCTCCCAACACTCACGATTTCAAATTCACATCAAGCGTTGAATTAACACATCTAGGATCGCCTGTTGGAGGACACGAGGCAATAAGCACCTTTCTTCATTCCTCACTTGACATACTCCTTAAACTGGAGGACATCTTTACACTTCTTCCATCACACAAGTCCTTTTTTTGCTAAAAAATTTCTTTTTTATACCAAGGATTCTTTACGCACTTCGGTCAACACCAATTTTTAAATATCCTATTCCTCTCCAAACTTACGAAAAAGGAATAAAGGACTTAACCGAAAAAATAGTAAATATCAGATTCAACGAAACCGCTTGGGCCCAAGCAACTCTTCCAACCAAATTTGGTGGTCTCGGCATCAGATCTCCACTTGACTTAGCAACAACTACTTTCATATCGAGTAGTCTCTTGACAAAGCCAATAACCACCGCCCATAATTCTAAAGAAGACCTTTCCTTAATCGTGGCTATGGATATTTGGAAAACAAGGATCAATGCTGATTCTCATCCCCCCACAACCCATAAACAGAAAGACTGGGATGCACCAGTGGTTGCTCGCTGCGTTGAAACTCTCTTATCTAGCATGCAATCTACCGACCGCACCCTATTCTCTTCCTTGCTCAATGGTACGGGACATGAGTTTCTTGAGGCCATCCCATCTACCAATCTTCAGCTTCAACTATCCAACAATGAATTTACCCATGCCATCGGCATTCGTCTAAATTGTTCCATCACTCACCCCCACATCTGCTCAGGGTGCAACTCGCCAGTTGACTCGAAGGGTAGACATAGTTTACATTGTCGCTCCTGCAATGGACGATTCATCAGACACAAGCAATGTAATACAATCATCCAACATGCTCTGAAATCCGCCCAAATTCCTTCCACGTTAGAACCACAGGGTCTTTTTAGATCTGACGGTAAACGTCCTGATGGGATCTCTCAAATCCCATGGAGGAGAGGCCAACTTTTGGTATGGGACTATTCCTGTATTGACCCCTTGGCCCCATCCAACCACGCCATCAACATCCTTGACCAGAAGGAACAACTTAAAATTTCTAAATACACAGAAATAATAAACGATCATTGCTTCATCCCAATCATATCAACCACTCTTGGCACCTTCGGCAAACTCGCCTTAGCATTTTTCAAAAAATTAGGATCACAAATCAGCAAACTCTCAGAAGAACCTCGAGAGGGTTTTTTTCTTCGTCAACGATTATCCATAGCGATTCACAAAGCTAATTATATCAGTTTCAATGGTAGCCTTCTAGCCAAAGAGCTATCATAGACAACGCTTACGTCCCTTTTTCATTTTTGTTTCCCTGCGTCACACCATCTCCGTTCTTTTTTTTAATAGTATTATTATATATTTTTCAAACATTTTTAAATATATCAAATTTATTATAAATAAAAATTTTATTTTAGTTCTACTAACAAAAATTTCCAAAAAAAAATTTATTATTACTCTTACATTTTAATTTTATCGCACAAATTTATGAAATTTTTTAAAAAAATGACAAATTTGGACATAATTAATAATTTTTCTAAAGAAAATTATAAATATAAATATATATTTAAATATTGGTAAAATTATTTCTTTTCATGTTCCCAAAATGGAACTTTTAATTTGATTACCTGATCGAGTTTTTAAAGGTAGTGCTGTTAAACTACCTAACTTCAATCAACTATAAAACATCGCAGCCATGTTTTTAACGGAAAAATTCCCAATCAATCTTCTAGTTTAGACTCAGCTTAAAAAAACCAGACAAAACCACAGAGATGGTCAACAACAACTATTTTAAGGAGAGGTGTAAAATGTTTATAGTGGGTATCGTAAAATTAACCATAACGATACAAAATATTCTTTAATATTTTAGGGAAATAATTATTGAGATTCTCTTTGTTTGAAAGCTTATTAAATTTATGATTTGTGAATTTTTTAAGAAAGAAAGAAAGAAGCGAGGCTTAGAAAATATTTTTCTGGCTAAAATATTGAGTTAGCCGTTTTTAGAAGTCGGCTCGAATCGAGCCGCTTAGCAACACTATCACGTGTTGACTTAAGTTGAAATTGACAGGATGCACATTCTAGAAATGCCTGCATTTCTGATATTTAGAAAATGGCTCCCCGGTATAATGTAAAATTAAGAAATTCTTAATACCCCGTGGAATCATATTACGACCAATACAAACGTAAATATATGTAAAAATCCTTTGTTATCGGGCAAGATGATTGAAGGGTGTTGGCTCATGCTGCCACTCACTAAACGTTTGGAAAAAGGGGGTTAATCGTATTCTTGTAGCTTAATCGGAATCTTTGCCCCCTAATATCTTATCTCATAAAATTCTTCGGGCTGATTTAATTAATTAATGGTAGGATAACTAAAAATGGAACAAATAATGGCGCTAAGATCATAAGATCAGAAATACCATAGCAATTCCAAATAGAATTTACTTCTTTTTTTTTTGCAAATTCGAATTATCTAATCTATATTTAGGCCAAATTTTCTAGCGTACGAAATCTTAAGATGATATAGGAAGGAAAACCCGAAAGTTTTACATCCCATAACGAGAAGTCGCACTGCAAAAATTCGCGCCAATTATCTTTATTTTGTTCCTTATAAAAAAAAACTTGTTTAAGTCAGGGACAAAAAAATGGCGTCTACAGCTGATTCCTATGTATGATCCCGCTTTTTTAAATAGCATTCTTAACGAATTGTCAATCTTAGGCTTAATAATCCTAATACCATGAAAAGGACTCTCTTAAACGTTTTCTCTTATCAAGAATTTTGTTTAAAAAGTAAATAAGAAATCCCTTTTTTCCTCCATGATATAAACGTAAAATTGTTTTTCCGCCGGCTCTTTTAAGTTAGGTCTGAAAAATCTTTAAACCCGATGATTCACACTGAAATTTTTTAAAAACGGCTAAACTCAAATATTATTTTATCCAGAAGTACATTAAGCACGGATCCTGAAGATTTTGCTCATGACGTATGGCACAAAGGGTTTAAAAATCCTATTAGCCAAATCCCGAGGCTAACTCAAAATATCATTTCCGTCCGAAAAATATCGATTTAACCGATTTTAAAAACCGACTCAAACCGAACCGTTTCGAATAACACTACTCAAAAAAAAACCGATTTAAAAATAATATATAATAAATTGTTCCACCAAAAAAAAAATGAAATTTTATATTTATAAAGTTTCTAATTTTCAAATCTTTTAGATATATATATAAAACAATTTTTTTTTTAGATATTTATTAAGTATAAAGATACATTTAATAAAATATTTACGAAAATTACCAAAAAAAATTTATATATAATATGGGTTAATAACACAAACAACTTTCAATTTTTTTTTGGTATAAAATGTCGTATGAATATATAATTAGCTTTTTTTTTGGTATTAAAGAAAAAATTCCTAAGAAAATGTGTGTCAAACCATACTTTTTTGGACAATTTAATTTTTTCGTCTTTCATTATTATTTTTGTCCGAAAAAAAAGAGTAATAATTTCGAAAAAATATTAATAAATATGTAACTTTCTCCAAGGCTTTTTTTCATAAAGATATTTAAAAAAATAATTTTTTAAAAATATATAAATTTACACTCTTTGTTTATGGTTATGGGGGAATTAAAAAATTTAAAAAAATTTATAATAATCTTTGGAAAAGTAATTTAAATTTATAAAGGTATAAAGGTAAAAATATAGATATATAAATTTAATATATATAAAGGACAGATAAAACTGTTTTTGAAGAATTTATATGTTTATGGATGGTGTTTTAAATTTAGTTTAATTATAATAATTATATGGTTTGTCTCATCCTAAGAGCATTAATTAGATCCTTGAACACTAGTGTTTATGAGAAGTTTTAATCTAGTAATAATAGTGTATTCTTCTATTGGAATATCTGTGAGGATATAATTATTTTAGTAAAAAGAGGGGTTTATTATTACGGTCTTTTAAATATAGTTTAATTATATTATAATTTACATCGGTAGATGAGTTTATTATTACAGGTTTATGTTAGGCTAAAGAAAATATAACCTTTCCAAATTTTTCTGATAATAATATAATAAATTAAAAATAAATTTAATGCCATTTTCTCTGGATAAAAAAATATGATATAATATTTAGAAATTCAGATCAAATAAAATAGATGATGATTTCCAAATCGATCATATGATTTTGGAATATAACTTAAACTGAATTTTAAAAAAAACAGTAAACTTTCATCCTATTCATAGGTAGTTCAGCGGTTAAAAATTAAATTTATAAAATGCTATTGGATAATATCACTTGATGATTCCCAAATCGATCATATGATTTTGGAATATATTTTATCCTACTCATAGGTTAGTTAAGCGGTTAGAAATTAAATTTAAAAATGCTATTGGATAATATCACCTGACAATCATATTTAAAATATTATTATTATTATTATTATTATTATTATTATTATTATTATTATTATTATTATTATTATTATTATTATTATTATTATTATTATTATTATTATTATATATATATATATAGAGCGATGCGATTTCCAAAGCACCTATGAAACAGATCCGACTCGGCAAATTCCTTGTCAGGAATAAAAGAACATACGTTGCTGGAGAATATTTGCAAAGTTTAAAAAAAAATCAATCAATCAATAAATATAGAATTCTTATCTTCGAGATCTATTGATTAAAAACTTTAGAATTGGGTAAAAAAAAAGAATGAAGGAAATAATTGGCGAAAAAAAAAATATATATATAAATAAATAATTTTTTTTTTTAAAAAAAATTGTTAGAATGCAAGGCATGCGTAGATGGCAAGCCCGGACATGCTGGACCTGCCGGCCCCCCTGGAAAAGATGGTGACAACGGACGCGACGGTCAACCAGGTCGTTCCGGACCTGACGGAAAACCGGGTAGAGATGGATCACCTGGCAGGCCTGGACCACAGGTTATAACCACTTTAACAACATAGAATAAAAATATTAAATTTGAGCGGGTAAATATTATTTTATTTGACCAATAAATTTATTTTAAAAATATTAAAACACTTTTTAAGGGGCCTCCTGGACCTAGAGGAACGGACGGAAAAGCTGGAAATCCAGGGAGAGACGGATCTGCTGGCGATGCTGGAAAAGATGGAAATCCTGGCAGAGATGGAAACCCAGGCAAACCCGGAGTTCCAGTAAAAAATTTTTTTAGCAAATTATAATGATTTTGAAACTGAGCAATGATTGGTTTTAAAAAAAAAATTTAGCGATTTAAACTTTGGTTATGTATATTCGTTTTGAAACTTTGCAACGATTGGTTAAAAAAAAATTGTTAAGGATATATTTTCAAAATATAGGTATACTGTCAAAATGCATAAATCTTTTATTATCATTTTTTTCTTCTTCTTCTGAGTTTGCGCACATTCTGATCTAATCCTAATTCTAAAGGTGATATCCGTCAAAAACTATAACTTATATTTGTTCCCTCACATAAATATATCTTCTATTCTTCCGCGCTTCAACCATTTTTTGTTTATAATAAAATTCGATATAAGGGCCCAGGCGGTAAACCAGGCCGTGACGGAAACAGTGGCAGACCTGGTTCCGACGGTATTCCCGGTCGTGACGGTAAATCTGGAGAACCCGGAAGGGATGGATCTCCTGGACAACCCGGAGAACAAGTTTATTCATTCATTCATTCATTCATTTTTCGGATAAATTTTACTCGCTTTTGATGCGATAAACATTTCGTATTAAAAAATAATAATAATTTTGGCGCAAGAAATATTTCCTTATTTTAAAAATTTAATTATGATATTTTCTTTCGTCACCTTTTACTCCACTAAAAAAGCATGTGAAATTTTTTTTTGCATTCTCTGAATGTTCCAAGTCTCGTTTCTCTTAAAAAAAAATGGAACGAGTTCCAATTAAAGAAAACACATTCATATAAAAAATAGAAAGGAAAAAAGAAAAATAAATGAATGCGAATTTTTATTAAAGGGATCAGCTGGTACCCCCGGAAGTGACGGAATACCTGGCAGAGCCGGAAATCCAGGTAGAGATGGCAAAGACGGAGAATCAGGTGCACCCGGTAATGATGGCCGACCAGGAGCGGATGGCGTTACGGTAATGATCTTTTTTTTAAAATAACAATAATCAGTTTTTTATAGGGACCAGCCGGTCCGGACGGAATTCCAGGCAAAGACGGAGAAGCAGGACGTCCTGGTAGCGATGGAAGACCGGGGCGAGATGGACAACCTGGAAAAGATGGCCAACCCGGCTCCAGGGGAAAATCGGTACATAAATGGATTCATATATGATAAATATATAGATACCATATGTTTGATGATGATAATCCTCTAGGATAAGAAATAAAAAGTTTCTCAGTAATTATTAAAATGCAGTTTAAAAAACAAAAATGAATATGATAATTTTTCCCATATTTATAAAAACTGAATAGGGTATCCCAGGGGGACCAGGAAAAGATGGCAGGCCAGGTAACAATGGTTTGGATGGAGTTCCGGGTAAAGATGGCGAAACCGGAAGGAACGGAGTTGACGGACAACCAGGAACCCCCGGAGAAAGAGTTAGTTTGAAAAAACATATATATATATTCATTTTACTCAATTTATCGCGCTGGTTTATTCCCCGCGTCCTAAAGAGAACGCAAGCGAATTACGCGAAGGATAGTAATAATTATAGTTTTAGATAAGTTCATAAAATATGCTGGAGCGGATTACCAAGTTTTTATTTTAAAAAAAAAATCTAAAAACTGTCAATTATTAAAATCCAAGATACATTTTGATAATTAAGGGACTAGTAAATCACTTTATTTTATAAACGGGAACTAAATTTTTTTTGAAAGGAATCACGTGATCATATTTTTTTTTACCGTAAAAAAAAATTTTTGTTAAAATCTGATTGGCATACTAAAAGAATGATAAAGGGTTAATCATTTAAAGAAGTTAAAGTTTTAAAATTGCTTTCCAGATTGAAAGATTATCGGTTATAAAATTTGAAGAGAAAAAATAACATTTCATTTTAAACTTCAAATTTTAATTAGCTTGATGCACGTCTTCCTTATTTATTTATTGGACAGTTTACATTCAAAAAAGTATCGGATAAAAAGTATCGGATAAAAAGTATCGGATAAAAAGTAACGCAAAGCAAAAAGGGACCAATACAGATGCGCCATAATTTAAGCCATAAATTAGGCTTGAGCGACATCCGATATTTTGATCTTAGTATAAATGAACCCTTAAGGGGTGATATATATAGTTAGATAAATCCCCCTGACGTCTAATCTCCCCAATATAAAAAAAAATAAGGCTTGAATATATAAATCTTTTATTGTCGTGTAAAGGGACCGACTGGACCTTCAGGTAACCCGGGCAAAGATGGCGATTCGGGTAGAGACGGTGTCGACGGAAGACCGGGAAAAGCTGGCCAACCCGGCAAAGATGGCGAATCTGGAAAACCCGGACCAGCCGTAATGAAACTTCTACATACATTTTTTTTTTTCAATCTCATTTCCTGTCTTCTCTTCCTTTCCTGTCAAATCAATCATTAGGATCGTTAACCTTGGATTCGCATTTATCAGAGATATATATACGTAGAATCACCACACTTGGCTAAAAATGCTTAGACAAAGGCTGGATAGTCAAAACACTTGCATTAATATACTAATGAACGTTCTCCTTTATCATTTAGGATAAATAAGAATTCACTTCTTTGCGATCATTTTATTAGGTTTTATCATTTCAGAGACGATCGGCATTAGGTGTTTTCTTTTCTTCTAAATTTTACTACTTATTTTAACATAACAGGGTAGACCAGGCCGTGCAGGCAAAGACGGAATTCCAGGCCAACCTGGTTCCAGGGGAAGCGATGGCGTTCCTGGCAAAGATGGCTCTCCAGGGCGAGATGGAGAGAGGGGAAGACCCGGAGCTAGAGTTAGAACAGCACATATTATATAACATTTTTTTTTTCCTTCTTCCTTTTTTTTTTTAAAGTGTATCATTTATAAATCTAATAAACTATAAATACTAAACCACCAATCAGAGGTATCGTTTAATGGCAACCAATAAACTATAAATACTCGGCCAATCAGAGGCATCTTTTAATTGGCAACTTAGAGGACCAATAGAAATCCTTTATTTCAATGACAGATTCTTCCGCTTACACATTTTTTAACTTCCTTTCTCAAAATATATCTTGACATCTATTTATATTTTTATTTTTTTTTAAATTAAATAATATAAGGGTCCAAGTGGAGACAGGGGTGATGACGGAGTTCCCGGTAAAGATGGTGAATCAGGCCAATCAGGAAAAGCCGGGAGACCCGGTATCCCAGGTGTCAGAGGACCACCCGGCCCTCCAGGTCCAGATGGACAGCCCGGTAAAGATGGAGAGCCTGGTAGACCAGGATCAAATGGACTTAAAGGTATGAAATAATCTCGTGACAGTTCGAATTTATATGAAATAATCATATGTTTTCTTCTGCAAACATCCTTTACAATTTTGAAAATAATTATAAACCTTCATCGAACAAAACAGGCGAAAGCGGTAGGCCAGGAAGAGATGGTTTACCAGGAAGCCCCGGCGCCAGAGGAGATAATGGACAAGACGGGAAACCGGGATCGCCAGGTTCCGACGGAACTCCCGGTCGTGACGGAAATCCTGGTTTGGATGGAGAACCTGGAGTTTGCCGAAACTGCCGTGTCACAGGACCTACCAGTAAATAATCGTTTGTATTCTTTGGAATTTCTTATTCTTTCTTTTCTCTTATGTTCTAGAAGAACATTCACTTCCCGAATATTTGAAATCCTAACTTTTATTTATAAAATATCTAGTCGAAAAAGAATCCTACGTCTGCTACATTCACTGGGGTAAGGCCCGCTGCGGAGCTAACTCTCGAGATGCCGAAACTATTTACGACGGTGAGCCATCAATCAATTCATATTTTTTTTAAAATATTTACATGAGAAATAATCTGATTTTTTTCTTGATCTTTGAACTTAATCCAGAAAATAAACATTTAAATAATAATCATTTACCTAAGAAAAACCCTGTATACAGAACCCTCATTCCTGGAAATTTAGTTAATTAGGTTAGAAAAAAAAAACTCATTTAGAGTTAGATGATCTATTTTTGTAAATAAATATTTTATATTATTATTTTCTAAGTAGGTTTTAGTCAACTTGATAAATATCTAAGGTTTATATCCTAAATTTCAAAGTCATATTCACAAATCATTACTTATTTATATATTACAACAAATAAATACAATAATTTCTATAAATATATATATATCTTATAGGTTTCGTATCTGGCGGCCATTATTTCTTTTCTGGTTCTGGTTATGATTATCAATGCCTTCCCAGAAACCCCGATTACAAATTCGTATTAGATGGCTACCAATCTAAAGCTACTATCTATGGAGCCGAATACAGACTTTACGACGAAAATTCTCCATTACTTCGCAAGGTGCCATCATTTATAATATTTGCGAAAATTTAGATCATATTTTTATCGGTCTAAAAGGAGCAATTCAAACCATAGATATTTTTATTTCGCAACATGATGTTCGGTTTTTCAAATGAATTTTTGAAAGTTACTTTAACGAGATAAAATGCTACAATTTTAAACAGATTAAGAATCATCCATGTTATATAAACTGATCATTCTATAAGACTGTGGCTCTATTAATTATTCCAACTAAACTTTTTTTATATACCGTAATTACGTCGAAACAAACAAAAATTAATAATATTTAAAACTATATTATAATAGGGTCACAAATTTAACGTAGGTCTATGTTCCTTGTGCTGCGTTCCGAGACCCGACCAATACATGTTCCCAGGATTTACCCGCTGTCCCTCAACGTGGACCCTGGAATACAGGGGATACATTATGTCCGCCAATGAAGAATTGAGTAGAGCCACTTACATCTGCGTCGATGAGGATGCGGAATACGAAGCCAGTTCGACTCCCGGTGACGGCGCTTCCTTGTACATAGTCGAGGTCAAGAGCGGAAACCTCCCCTCCTCTTACAAAGATGGTAGAGAATTGGCGTGCGTTGTGTGCTCCCATTAAGGCGTTTTTAGGCCGATGGATTGTAAATTAAACTTTGTCGTGCATTTAACAAACAAAAAGTAAACTCCCTTAATTTACCGATAATATTCTTCAGATGATCTAAAAAAACAACTTATCGCAGGGCTTTTATTTTACTCCTATCTATTTTACTCTTTTTGATCGGTCAGAGAAGATCTTGAGTAATTTACTACTTTTTGACTAGTGTTGCAAAAACAGCTGACTCAGTATTTTAGCCAGAAAAATATTGCCTAAGCCTCAAGATTTCTATGATACATGTCTAGAATCTTTGTTACTTCTATGAGCAAAATCTTCAGGCTTGCGTAATATTTTTCTGGATAAAGTATCGAGTCAGCTGTTTTTGAAAAATCGGCTCAAAACGAGCCGTTTAACAACACTAACTTTTGACTATTTTGGGCATCTTTTCTATACAAGTATAATTTACTCTCAAAATTGCTGTCTTTCTAAGTTCCCCTTCATAAGGATTATCCTCAGAATTTCTAATTGAATTTATAGTATTAAATCTCATTTTTAAAAATCATCGATGTTAATTTTTTTTTTCCCTTCTCCGTATCCTAATAAACACAACTAAATTTTTTTTTTCCTTAATTAATACTTTATTTTTAATTTATTTTATCCGACAATGTGTTAATTCGTTACCTAATCATTTTTATTTAGCGCGTTTTTTTTTAAATTTAAATTTGGAATTTAACGGGAAATATATTCTGTCATGTTTGGAATAACTTATTTTATGAATCGTATACAATTTTCCATTGAGTCTTTCATAATTTATATAATATTTTTTTAAAAAATAATATATGAAAGAAAAATTATATTAATTTTTTTTAAAAGTTCACGTAAAAATTGTCTGAAATTTTCTTAGGGTGTGTATTCCAATGAAGGCATACATACACTTCCGGCAAAATCAGAATTTGTTTTTTAAAATTTTGTGAAAAAACGCGCTTTAAAAAAAAATAACACATTGTCGCTAACATACATTAGCGACTGCATCGGGCCTAATTTTTCAAGCCAGGCCCGGCCCGACATTTTTTTTAAAAACCGGTCCGGTCCGGCCCGAACTAGATTATTTGCAGAACTTCTAATATATTGTATATATATATATGTATATTATAATATTTATATTTTTGTATTTACATAGGATAAAAGCTAAAGTTTTGAACGTCGAATGTTATTCAAGCAAAATATTATAATCTTCTTCTTTTTTTTATGAGTGGATATTAAATATTTTTCATATTTTCATATTTTCATATTTTCATATTTTTAATTTTTAATGGGGGAGAAAAATTATTATTATTAACCACGTTTAATTATCGTCTAAATATATTTTTTTATTAATTATTATATATAAATAATATAAATAAATACGCTTTTAAATTATGATTTATTTTTTAAAAATATATATATATATAAATTTTGGGAATTATGCATTACTAAATATATATATATATTTTTTTTGATGTTGAACTTCAAAAACCAACTTCATATAGTCAATTTTAATCGCTAATTTTATAAATTATTATTATATTATATGTTATATTATTTTGTTTGAAAAAAAAAACAATAAAAGAACATACCTTTATATTATTAAATTATTTCTATCATTCTAGTATTGTCAAAAATATGTAGTGTTGTTTTTAAACGGCTAACTCAATACTTAGTACAGAAAAATATTACCCAAGTCCGAAGATTTTGCACATGGAAGGAACCAAGATCCAGACATATATCATCGAAATCTTGAGACTTAGGCAATATTTTATCTAGAAAAAATTATTACGCGACCCTAAAGATTTTGCTCATAGAAGGAACGAGGGTCCTGACATATACTATCGAAATATCTAGGCTTACTCAATATTTTTTTCTGGCTAAAATATTGAGCTCAGCCGCTTTTAGAGATCGGCCCAAAACGAGCTGTTTAACGGCACTGTACTATTTTCTTTCGGAAGTATAGTGTGTGATTAGGAAAGGGGGGGGAGTGGTTGGGACGCAGGGGAGATCAACTGAATTATTTGACGATAAATCTATTAGAATGAGTGTCGGAAGATCCTTCATTCCTCGGTAATATTGGGGGAATTTTTGATGGGTTAATAATTTGCAATATATCTCATGTTAGAGCCTTTATAAGAATATAATTATTTATTTCTTAACCCCAGGACCGATCCCAATTCAAACCTTATTCCTAAAAATTTTACTAAACACAAACCAGAATTAATCTCCTTTTTTTTAAAAAAAAATTTAAGTGGTTCAAGATAAAAAAAATTATTAATTTATAATTTTACCTGCATTAATTTTTTTTAAAATTTTGTTATATCAAAAAAATAATATATAAATAATAAATAAATAAGGGATAAATTTATTTTATAAAAACATTTAAGGAATTTTTTAAAAAAATTTGTTTTAGACCTTAAATTTAGAAATAGATGCTTAGCCAATAAAAACCAAAAATTTTAAATTTTACGTGAAACGTGATTTAAGCGCTAAGCCCTCGTGATGACAAGCAACAGAACTAGGCTAGGATTTCCTTAGAATTTTTTCAAACTGGATATTTAATCAAGGCCCTTCAACCATTTGTAGGCAAGCCAAGAGGCCTCAGTAGCCTTTACAATCTCAGGGGCCATAATAAAAATTATTTTAAAAATTAATACTACATTTGACATAAAAAAAAAATTTGAAAATTTGGAACGGGAGCTGGTGATGAAGGAATATATTGTAAAATATACTATTTATACATTATGAACGATTTTATATTCCTCAATTAAATATGGTTGTAATGATTATTTATATATATATATCTATGATTAATATAATATTGGGGGGAGGTTAACTACCTAACACCCATAGCATCAATTGCAATCAATATTTCCGCGATCGATTCCATATGATTAACTAACCTTCTAAGTGTATACAGTTATATTAAGGATCGAATAAACCTGTGCATGCATAGTTTAGTATAATCGGATTACTTTACGGGTTCTTAGAAATTTTCAGGAGCTCGAATCCCTGCATTCCCTTCCCCCCCCCCCCAAAAAAAAAATTGTTGCTACTGACTACTTATATATTTAAACAATGTTGTTTCAACCAAGCAGAGTATAAGCAACTATTACTCAAATGTATACGGCGCAGCAATAGCACACTATACAACGTATTTATAATATCCACAGGGGTCTAGAATTTGGAGTGCTGCACTCGACATTTTCAAAATTTTTGAGATTGAAGTGGCTAATAACTTACTTATTTCCCAATATATATATATATATATAAATAAAAAACTAGATTTAAAAAAAATATATTAATTTTTTTGCCGAAGTTATCTGTTCAAAATTTGATATCGATAAACTTTTTTTTTCCTATATTTTGATTTTTAAACTCTAAAATGTTGATTTTCTTATTTTAAACATTTTGGCAAAGTGGAACACTCCAATTCTAGACCTAAAAAGAATTGTAATTATCGCATCATTTTTGATTTTTAAAATATTTCACTGCAAAATAAATGTTTAGTATTATTATATGGGCTACGTTAAAAGTTATTCCTAAGTGGTTTATTTATTTAAATCCCTTAAAAAAATTTTCTTTTCTTCTCGTGGAGTTATTTTTTTTTAAAAAAAATACAAACACTAGTTTATAATACAAATCAATATTTTTAAACATTTCATACTACTATTGCCAATATAGCTCGATAATAGAGTATACATATAATCCTGCCATTTCTTATCAGATTCACTTAAATCAAACAAAATTGTAGAATTCTTCTTCTATAAAAAAAAATAAATTGTAATCCTGCTTGATAAAAGATTTTTTTTTTAACTAAAATTTTAAAATATTTTTAAGATCAATATACAAAGCTGGCTGTTAATAGTTTTGTTAATTTAAGGCTAACTCACTATTTTAGCCAGAAATATATTTTCTAAGCCTCGAGATTTCGATAATATATGTCCAGATCTTTGTTCCTTCTATAAGCAAAATCTTCAGGTTTGCGTAATATTTTTCTGGATGAAGTATTGAGTTAGCCGTTCAGTTTAACAACACTAGCTCTTTATATTATTACTCCCTATTTAGAAGGATTTGGTTCCCGCCATTGAGTTTTTTTTTTCTAAAGAAGCGCCATTTTTTTTTCAACCGCTCCTTTGTTTTTAATTTTTCGCAATACAAAATATATATTTTATTCAAAGAAGATGTGAATGCGCCAAAAAAATTTTTAAATTTTATTTTGATAAATAACGAATTTTTTCTAAATTTAAATCAGGCCAGGCAGTCATCACCCTACTCGCCCTGTAATCTGTTTAGGGCAATACTAAGTAAGCCATCAAACAGGAGCAATCTAGAGGGAAAAAGGGGGTATTGTATTGTATTTATTGTGGATTTAAAGTCAAAATAATATCATGTAAACCTCTAGATTTTGACTAATAGATGTCCAAAACATTTCTAACCACCCTGAGAAGAATCTCTAGGCATATGTAACATTATTTTGGTTACAATCTTAAATTTAAATCAAGCCATTTTTAAAAATAGACCCCATAACGGCCTTTTTAAGAAGAGTAATTGTGCTGCTATTATTTGTTTAAAAAAAAAATTGTGTCTATCATATCTTCCTGGTGGTAATCGATTTGATCAAATCCAAGACAATCTCTCTAAATTATGTTTCGGTGTAATTTTAGATATTTTTGAGTTATTCGAAAATAATTCTTACAGTTTACTCATATATATATATATATATTTGTGAAAATTAACGATTTAAAATAATCGGATTCAAAATATTGATTATTTGTTCCTACAGACCTAAAATTTTATTTAAAAGGGTAATCCAAATATTTTGTTTCCGAATCGAATGCCCATATAAAAAATGCTTAGATATTACTTTGTTATGTTTTTCTTAGTCAAATTCATGACGAGCTTGCCAAATATACTTTAAATAATTTTTTTATTTTAATTAATTTTAATTAGAATCCATGTTTCCTGGAAAACTCTTAATAGTTTAGCATCTCTATGAGTTGCGAGAACTCCTTTCTAAACTAAATATCACCTATTATAAATGAGGAGTTAGCTGCTATTCCAATCCAGATGATGATGCTGCTATTTTTATTTATTTCTATTAATATATAAAAAAAATTATAATAATCATTATAAAGGAAAAAAACTATATAAAAATAAATGCACTTATAAAAAGGATATCAATAATTTCCCATTAAAATTAATCCAATATACAAGGTAAGGTTATGAAGACCCTATCGGTAACATGGTCTTTAAGAGATATATTTCTGTGTTTCATCTTTGAACGAGAGTTCCACCGTTATTCTGTATTCGAGATGTTGGGTAACATTAGGAAATGTGTAAGTTTTGACACACTTTAACCGTGTAAAAAAAATTATAATAATATCGTATATAATATTCTCTTAGAAATTATTGTTGGGTTTAGGGCATATATTAGTCATAAAAGTATATTATTTTATTTTTAAAAACTATGAATTTAATTTTTGAAAACCGTCTAGAACCTAATGACTTTTGTATAATAATATGTCTCTTAACTCTAATATTGTGACGATAAAAGTCTCAATTCTATTATAAATAAAAATTGTTTAGTTACATCTTGCACAGGCTGTAATTTTCTAAGCTTCAGCATGCTTGGTTTGGAAGGCAAGAGTTCAACTTCGTAACATTTAATATTGTTAAAAAAACTCCACATTTTTCAAATGATCAATATTCCAATTTACTGTCATGTCATATTGTTCTTCAGATTTATCCTCCAATTTACTGTTATGTCATATTGTTCTTCAGATTTATCCTCCAATTTACTGTTATGTCATATTGTTCTTCAGATTTATCCTCCATATTTAAATGGCTTACCGTGTTAGTTATTCTAAGGAGCAATGGAATCTGTCAAATAATATTTATAATATCATATACTACATATAGTTTTCCTAGACGCTATTGCCATTATTTAAGGCTACTTTTTTAAAATGTTTGTAACTTAATTGTTTTTTTACAAAGAATAGCATAGCAATATTATATTATTGAGATGGTTTAATCTTTCTAGGATATTTACAAATATCCCAATGTCATTTTAATATAAAATAAATATTTTTAAAAAATATTTTTGAATTTATTGATAAGTTACCAATAATATCTTATTTTCGTTGATGAATTTTGGTGATCTGATTTTTTTTTATTATAAAAATATGTATAAAATATGTCCCTTTTACAAACGAATAATTGATTTAATTTGTAAATTTTATCAACAAAATAAACTTAATATAATAATAACT